GGAGATTAGTTAGTTTTAAGTAAAATGAAAATGTTTTAGCAGTGTAACAGTAACTCTATATAAAAGTGCATTTAAATCCTAATAGATTATAAAAAGGCACCAACCTATTGTCTGTGGTACTCAGACCATACAGAAGGCTGAGGCCATTCTCCTCCACTGTCATCTGGCTCAGCTTGTTTTGCAAACATACAGCATGAACATCGACACCCTGATGGCCCAGAAACACTGCCTGCGCATTCAAATAAACACAAAGTTATGAACTTGAAAGCTAACCTGGGTTTTTAAAATCTACAAAACCAAAAAAAGATTTATTTTTATAACAAACCTTCACTATTCCCAGGTCCAGCAGGCCTTCTGCTAGCCCAGCCACTACAGGCTGCCCCAATCCCAGTGGTTGCTCTGCGGGGGAAGGGCCTCCGCTTTGAGGTTTACCTGCCGTAAATCAACATATTTATGACTGTTTGAGCTGCTGTAACGGCAAACGGAAATTGAAGAGCCCTTGCATGAATGCACAAATTTACAAGCTGTTTAAACTGAGGCTTTTATTCCGTAGATAAACACGTAAAGCACATTTAAAATAAAAAATATACTTTTTATATAATGCCCTTTAAATCTGTTTAAAGAGAAACAACGAGAGAGGAAATTGGTCTCGTCTGTTTGAGGTATAAACATGCTAAAAAGGTTCTGAGAAAAGGAAGGTTTGATGCAGTGATTTCAGCGTATCAAGCCTCCCACACCCCCTTACACTGGTAAACTGGAATCCTATATGAATATGACTCATGAAGAACGAGGTTGCTGAATAACTCAGTAGCAGATAAGGTCAAATTTCTTAATATTAAACTCTTGCAATTTACCCCAAGTGAGTGTTGTATTATCAGGCTGTAGATGTAGCAGACAGCGAGCACTGCCATGGCCGTCCTGGTCGTAATGAATGACCGTAGCGCCCTGCAGCAGAAACTGGTAAATGTCTGGTTGTAGTGACAGCACATACCTGAAAAAAAAAACAACAGAGTTTGTCGCACGTCTGCTGAGGCACTAACAGCTGGATGTGTTTGCATGTGTGCTTGAGCCTTTTACCAGGGAATGAGCTCCGTGCCATGGCTAAAAGCTCTGTGCGTCTCCTCGGTCCCCTGAAACTCCACTTCTTTCACCACCGGCTCGGTAGACAAGTCACCATCTGAATCCGACAAGTCTCCGACCGTGAATCTGAAAACGGACGGGGGTTAGATGGGTTTGGAAAGAAAGTTTAAGAGCCAAAGATTTTTGCATCTTTTAAAGTTTTTGCATGCTGATTTCCGAGGCGATTTTCCAAATGCACATCTCTGGATTCATAGGACTCATTTTATTTTTAAAAAGCAATTCAATCAGACATAAGAAATGACCTGCATCTCACAACCAAACAGAAACTGAACCTATCCTGCAGGCATTGGCTTAATCAAGCAAAAAAAAAAGAAGAAAAAAGTACCATGCATTAGTCACTGCTCATTCCTTCACTTCATTGCTCATGCTTCTAATTAAACCGTAATCTGAAACATACTGATGATAGCAAGCATTGTTCGAATTCCAGTAAATTTTACTGTGAAACAACTTACAAAACATGTTTTTTTTCTGGAGTCGTCTTAAATGAAAAGGAACTAGAAGGGGAGCAGGAAACAAAGAACGAAGAGAGGATGTGAGACGAAAAAAAGAACGCATAAAGAGCTTTCAATAGTTTTTTGAGGTCTTTTTTGGGTGCTGGTGGGAAAAAGATCCAGAACACCGAAGAAAGGTGATTTTGTTTTTTAACTGTAGTCTATGTTTAAGAAAGATACACACTATGAAGCTTCTGTGCTAACATCGAATAATTTGTCTGAATCTGAGAAAACAGTTTATAAACACATAAAATGGTCCAGGTTTCCTGACTGCAAACATAACAGATCACAGCTGGAATTAAATGACTTTCTACGTCCTCCAAATTCCAGCCTTTGTTATTAGCTACCTGCCACCAGAATGCTGACAACAACCAGAACTCTGTTCCTTCCTGTCCTGACAGGAAACTAACCTGTTATCTATTTTTTTAACTCTGCCCCACACGGATTTCATGTCAACATCACTTCATCTCAGTAACAATCTGCAAATGTGTTCCTTCACAAACCCGTTATCTCGCGCTGGTGTTTATGAAAGAAAACTGCGCACTAATCCAAAATAAGACTTTGGTGAACATCCAGCCTACTTGGCACTTGAGGATATCCCCTACATTTAAAATAGCTGTGCATTAATCATTAAGGCTTAGTGGCTTTGTTGAATGTTAAACTTTTGTCTATCGCTAAATTGCAGTGCCTTGTTTGCTTCAACAGAGGCTGTTGTAGCTGCACATTTGTAAGCTAGCTAATGAATGCACTGCATCTATTGTGATTTTGCTCAGAACTGCGCTACCAGCAAAGCCAAGCCCTCACAGCATGGCAGTATTCGCAGTTCTGATATAAATCTGTATATAACATTCTTCTGCTGTGTCCATGAGTCATTGTCTGTGAATGACCAGCAAAATAAAGAATCCAATTTTGGAAACAGACCTTTGTTAGAAAGGGTCACAGTGCTAAACAATACAATCTTCAGGCTGCCGTAACAGAGGGCCAAAAACGTAACCAAAAATGTAAAATAACACAATGGTAAAGTGAGAGCATGAGTATTACTAACTTTTGTGCAATGTGAGAGCAGGAAGTCAAAATAAAAGTCGAAAAGAAAAAGAAAGAACAGCAAAATGTTGCTTTTTTTGTATTAAATCAACACATCAGCATGATGAAGCAGAGTTCATCGGCAGTTGACAAATAGTAAAAATAAAAGCCAGTCAAGTGATTCATGACGTCCTTGGGTCTTGGTGAATTTGGTCGCATGCTATGTACCATTTAATACTTTCTCCTGTATGCCTTAAACTATTTACACGAACATCCTTTACACTGCGTTAAAATACACACTATCCTTCAACTGGAAAGAATCAAGACCCGGTCACGGTAAACAGATGCTATTCTGGGATATTCTTTAAAAAGACACCTCATTTTTCTAGGGTCTCATACCTGACACTGCACGCTGAAATATCTCACAACAAAAGCTTGGATGGCACACTAAAAAAAGGGGGGGGAGAAGAAACTGAACTAACTGATTGTGGCTGCGGTCTTTGAAGGAGTTGTTTCTGGATGCAGGGGACGGGCCAGTAGAAGACGGACTGGTGGACGCGTCATCAGGATCTTCTGCCTCTAAACTCCGGTTGCAAGATCTAAGGAGCAGGAACAGTCGAGTCAAACAGACAGATAAAGTAAAGAACAGCAGAGACGACTGTGTCAAACACCATCGCACATACCTGATAATCTGAAGGATGTTGCTCACAGTAGCTTCCTTCTCTGGCACATGGAGCCCATCTGGGCCAGATCGAGACAAGTAATTGCGCTGGCCGCTGTAATCGGACACAAACTGGAGACAGAAACAGCAGAGCAAGATGGATTGTACTAACAGGATATCAAATATGTAATGTAGTGTCAGTTTTATCAGATCTGTGTATTTTTGCGAATGACTGCGGGTGTTTTCTGCACCTCTATCGAGTATTCTGTGTTATCAGGAGACGGTTTGAGGCTGATGATGCTTGCTGTGCCATCCAACGCTTCACTTAGCTCCTTTAGAAAAACCCCACAGAATGGCACAACCTACAGTGTATATGTGTAAGAGAAAAAAACTCCCAAAAATAAAAATTACAGTGCAGCCAAGGTCAGTGAGTTAGAGGATCAAATGTCATCGGGGTAAACATAGGCCCACCTTGCATCCTGGGATATTAAGAGCTCTGGTCACAACCTTCTTGTACTCAGAGGAGGACTCATGCTGAGCCATGGCATCCTTTAAACCTCTCATGGTCTCGATGTCTGACTGGTCCATAAACTGCCACATCTTCAGCACCTTACGAGATCTGAAGGGCGAAAAAATGAAACAAAACAAAACACATTGATATTTTTGTGTGAGAACAGTGCAGATAATAAATTGCCTGTATATTCAGTAGGTGGGTGTATTTGAGTTGCGTCATTGTGTTTCTAAAAACCTGAGTCCAGCCAGGAACTCCATGACACCATTGTAGTTTCCCATGTTCCAACAGCATTTAGCAACATGGACCAGATATGAGAAAACTTCTCTTTTCTCCTCCATGGACCCTGCAGTCAGGACCAGCCACGTCACCCACGAACTCACCTGCGTGTTCAGAATTTCGCATTTCAGTATTGCCAACTGTTACAATCGTAATCAAGCACCAACAACAGCTGCACTTTATTGCGCTCTTATCTTACTTATAAAGTAAGCTGACACACAAACTGCAGAAAACCTCCCTAGTAACTCACAGCACCATCTTTGTCTGGTTATTCATCACCTTTTCCCTTGGAGTGAATAACATTTTGGCTTTAAAGAAACATTAAGTTCCAACATTGAAAATACCCAATATGGGGCTGTTTTTTTTAATTATTATTATTGGTATAACTTGCACTTTATTGTCTTTTGAATGCATTACAAGCAGAAAGAGTTTGAAACATTTGCATTTTTAAAAATATGTATAAACCTCATAGGAAGTGGAAAATAAACAGGTTATTTTGTACTCTATTGAGCACTCAAAAAACTATACAATTTGTCTGTAACTTATACGCCCCTAATGTTTTGGAATTATTATTGGAAAGGCTTGTAATGCCTCCATAGTTGGTGTGATTACAGCTGGAGACACATATTCCCCACTGGCGTTGGATAAAGGAGGGCATGTGGCATAACACTCTGCCAATTCAAATATATTAAATGACCTGTTTTGGCGACCCCTTGTAGCAGGGGAGCGGCCGGAAGTATATATTAGAAATGCTGTTACTGTACTAGTGCAATATGCTGCACATTTCTATGACAATTTATTAGTGGAATATCCACATAACAGGTGACATCATACTAAATCCCTGGATAACTTTTTAAGTGTGCTGGTGTGCTGTTACAAGGCTGGTATTAGGTATGATAAAACATGGGGGACACGGGACGACATCCAAAGGCACCTAAAATTCTTGAAAGTGTACGGTCATGTCTGCGCTCGTGAATTCTTCTCTGGAAACTTGTGCCTAATGTGGCAATGTATGCACAGGACTGCACCAGCTAGCTTCACACTTTCACCACAACACCTCTCCACGCATGCACACACATAAAAAAGAATGAGATCGGATATCTGTCAGCTGCGCTGCGTCTCTACACTGACTGACCTCAAGCACAAGCAAAAGACATGACGGCAACAGCAGATATGCATCAGGCTCGACCTCTCTGTATGAGCACAGGTACACAACACAGGAAAAGATCAGATTTCAATCTGGCCTGTTTTAACTCTTTGTATTAGTGCCTCATGAATGCATTCGCACACAATAAAAAACCAAAAAACCAAAACGCGCTCACACTAAAACTCTTTAATCCACTTGGAGGTGGTAAAAACATCCCCCGACCCAGAGATCTATTACTAGGTTACGTAAGGATCAGTAAAGCCCACCAACATCTGACCTGACAGGGACTAAATAAAGTCACACACACACACAGGAACTATTCGTCCTATTGTTTCCATTTCCATACTGCCTGATGAAAAACTGTTAAAATGTTCCAAAAATGTTTCTCATACACTCCCCTTACCTGTCCATGAACTACAGCACAAACAAGCGCAGAAATCAGACACATGCATTATTAGATTTTCTTGTCTTTGACACTAAAATTAAAGCCCCAAGCCATAAGGTCCTTGGCCCATTGGATACTTTATGTTCCCCAAAACAAACTGCACGAGCCTATCAAGGTTCATCTTCAGGAGACTTACTGCAATTAAATAGACAGCGCTTTTAATAGGCTGATTTTATTAGAGAGCCAGAAATTCCTCTGACATTTGTAATCACTGTCAGCCTGATCAGATACAGGGAATCAGTTACAGAAATTCCCTCCTGGGGCTTTCGAGGTTTAAATGTTAACTTTTCAGTGGAGCAGGAGCTCGTTCTGCAATCTACTGTATTTGGTTACCGAAAAACAACACTGCAGCCCTCCAGTCTCTTATCTGCTACTCCCCTACTCTTTGCGTGCCACGCATGAAAATTTTCTATCATGCACTTTCAGCATTATGACATAATGCGAAGCTATGTCAGCATCGGGGTTTTAGTTATACTCACCATCTAAATCATTCTGTCCATCTGCAAAGTGGCTTTTTGCACTACCACACATCAAGGGATCGCACTGAGTTGGCATCTTTTCAGGTATTCCAGATAGCAAAAGTGCGTATGCAGTGTTGTGCATGACAACAAGCAGGACAGGATGTGAGGATATATATGTACAAATGTACACAGAGCATATAATGGAACAGGAACGCAGCAAAGGGTAAATATGAGATAATACAAGAATACAGCAACCTCCCATAGAAGCATGAAAAGGCAGTTTTGAAGAGCATTCTGATAGAATTGCAGACACACACTCACATCCAAATTTGGATCTGGCTATATGATCCCCCCCCTCTTTGATCTTTGTCTGTGTGTCCACCTGTCCATCTGTCTGTCCTGTTGTCTGTCTGTCGCCATCTGTGCTTGTGGTATTAGTTCATCTGTGAGGGTCAGTTTCTCCTTGATACACGGATTACATAATGGAATATAACAGAGAACCATTACAAACTCGAGCACACACTGGTCCCGTCAAACCTAAACACTTTGGATGGACACAAAGAGGCCCAAACTGCTCACAACTCCCTGCTTCCCAATGTTTTTCTCAATCCTGTTTAACTGATTAATGTTTCACTCCCACACATGCCTTAAAAATGAACTCTATCAAAAAAGCTAGGCTTGTTCATTTTATTTGCAAAGTCTTGTCTTACAAGTGGGGAAATAAACTTCTTAATTAGTTACCATCTCAAAAACCAGTTAGAGATCCGTCCAAGATCCAGTCAGTGACATGAAATGTTTGTGAACTATTAATCAGGGAAAATAAATATAATAGTCAGGTGAATTAACTAATAATAATTTAACCTTGAAATATATTCCACAGTTCAAAAATGAAAGGTAAAACCCAACCTGACACAATTAAAGGCAGCTGAAGGTTTCAGCAGTACGAACAGGAGAGATTCAGTGCTGTCAATATGACTCTCGTTCCACTGTGACCATATATGGCAACACTGCACATTTGGAAAACTGTCTTTCGTGCTTCTCCTCTGGCTGACTTAAATGAAAACCAGCTGATGCGAAGAGGCATGCGACCTAAACATGACATCATCATCTCCAATCAATCTCTTTAGCACTTTCTCTTTCGCAGCAGTGGATTTGTGCATTTTCAAAGTCATTCACCGTGAACGAGGCGAGGCTCGGGGGGTGTAACTTAAGCCGGTGAACATGGTCGTGAGTGAGTTGCGCTCATGATAGGTCCGTATAACTCGCACAGCAAATAAGAGAAAAATTGCCATTTCATTTTTTTATGTTACTGCAAGAACTGCATTTCAATGCCACTTAATCATCAAAGGACAACTAACTTATTAACTGAAAAGTGCTCTCTTAAGATGAAAACTATCTCCATATGGTTCCTTTGGCACAACTTCATTAAATGCATCTGCGTAAGATGTGAGAGTCTCCTAAATGCACTACACATGTCTGTGTATATAAAAAGTCGCTCAAGGCTTTTAATTGTTAAGCTACGTTTGTGCAGTGTCAATTCTCAAGTGCTTCTACCCAGTCTGAAATCCTGCTGTAAACCCTGAGCTGCGGAGAACTAGACAGGCTGTGTAACGGCCTTGTGTAACTACATTCACATGTGTGCTAAAAGATTCGTGGAGTGCAGACAAAGTAGACAGAAAGCCCCCACCCACCTCGTTGAATCGCGCCACCAGTTCCTCCACGGCGTTACTTCGCTGAGTGGGCATGGCGGGCGCTGACAGTGAAGCCTTGAGGTTTGGGTGGCGTTTAGTTTGACACTCTGGACTGCCCAGGTCTCGGGTGAGGAAATAGAGGTAGTCCAAAGGGAAGACCTGCAGACAGACAGCACGCTCTCAATCAATGGCTGGGATTGTTGTTTCATTACAGACACTACTTACCACCACCTACTATTCTCCTCATCCAACCTCTTTGCTAAACCTCCCCACAATAAAACACAGCTGTACAATTTCAAATAAAGTGTAAGGATCATGTTGATAGCTGTAATTGCACGTTCCTGCCTCTGCTTTCCCCCTCATGTATATTTTATATAAATTTTCTTATACCTGCTGGTAAAGCTGCTGCTCTTGCTCTGTGAGGATGCAGGCGATCTCCTCGGGGAACTGAACAAGGTGCCGCAGCTCTGCCAGCTCCTTACTGATCCCGCTTACACTGGGAGGAAGAGTGCTGCTGCTGGTCATGCTGCTGGCCAGCT